AGATTCTTTTACATAAAAATAAAGTTCGAGAATGGTCAATTTTTCAATTGTTTTGCATTTAATCAAATATTCAAGTCTGTAGACATAGTATATCATCAAGAAAAAAACAAGTTTTACGTTTTTATCTTTATACCATGAGTGTACTAGTCATTAGCAGTTTTCATTTTACTTAAAATCGATTTTTCGATCACTACGCTTCAGATTGTTTTGATGAACAACACATGTAGAGTGATTTGGAAAGTCCTCATGATTTCAGATGCATTGGTTATTCTTGCCATAAGGATCATCTCTATAAATTCAATTTGCAAGTATTCAACTTCACTATAAACTCCCGTAACTGCTATTCAGTCTGTTTATATTTGTTTAAGTTTCATTGTTTTCTTTGTCAAACTTCCCATAAAAAAGATATTAAAAAAAAAAAACAAATTTCTTTTTCTTTTGACTTTTGATTATATTGATAGAAGTAGGGTCTTCAGAAAATTAGTTGTAACTATAGATGATTAGATTAATTTAAAATCAGTAGAGGAAAATTATGATATTTTACGAATAGTATAAATATTTTCTTTACAGATACGTTGAAAAGCAACAAAGCTATGTTATTAACGAACTCTTTATAGTTACATTAATATTATGAAATTAACCATTTTCTTTAGTTCTAACACTTTTTCTTACGAGTGAAATACAGATTTTTGCCCCATGCGATACTCTTTTAAAGTTACAGCTATTATAATACATTTTTTATCTTTGATACGGTAGTTATAAAAAGCACAGGCAAACGAATTTTGAGGTATAACTATGTCCATAGACAGTTCTTGAATTCGTTAGAATCTCTTACAACTTTAAGTCACAAAGAACGATGTCTTGTTGAGAGATCATATCGACAAAAAAAAGCACATTTTTCATTGTTGTTGGTGAGATATAATGGTTTTTTGTAAATTTTGATATCTGACGAAGAGACCATGCTTTTTAACTGAAAGTTTTAGACTCAAATTCGCTTATCTGATATGTTTTATGAATATCCTGCCAATCGTGCTAAATCCAATGCAATGGCTATAACATAAAACTGGCAGCGCATGCACAAGAATCACTCTAGGTTTTTTTCTAGTCTCAACAGACTCTCATTAATAGCCGAGGTCTCTTTTGAAACACGAAATACTACCTCGAGGTAGTTTTCTTGTTAGTTCGTCAATAGAATCATTTTGTGTAAAACTGATATTACGTAAAAGAAAACAGAAGACAATACTTATTATTATCTAGTGATGTAAAATGAAAAACAACATGATTCAGTTAGTTGTTTTGAAAAAATGTTGAAGTATTTCAGTAAATAATGTAACAAAAAAGTCAGATAACTGATAATAATGAGTTTTTTTTATATATTTTTTTGTTTTGTTACATTGTCCACTGAATATTTTATTTTGTTTGAATATAGTTTCTCGTCATGATAATGTCTTGGTTAACAATCTTCACTAGTTTCGCTGTTTTATCTTCATTAGTTATTGCTGATGATCCATGTCGATTTGAATATCCTGCAAAAGGTGTCATTGATTTAACTTCTTTAGGTCGAACTGATGGAAAACCTGCATATCCTGATAAATTACCACCGACAGGATCTGGCTATAGTATGTTAAATTTGTTTTGATATATATTATTCAATGTTTATTAATTATAGAATATAGTTATAATCCTTGTAAACCATTTAACGAAGGACCTAGTTGTAATGGAGTAGCTGCTTGTCAAGGTTAGTAATTTCATATAATTCATCTATTTTACTTTGTATTGTATTTAGTTTCGATGGATAGACAATACAGCTTTTCTCTTGGTACACAAGAGAGTGCAAGTTGGAATCCAGGTGATTTAGGAAGTGGTCCTTCAGTTGCTTATTCAGCTGGTGCAAAAAAAGTCACTGTTACATTAGAATGTGTAACTGATGGTACCAATGAATTAGAAGCTTTAGGCGAACCTACGCCGAATAACTATAAACTCAATTTAAAACATAAATGTGCTTGTTGGGATGGATGTGGTACGTAAGTTATCTCAAAAAGAACTTTTCCATGGTGAATAAATACGAATAGGTACCAATTCTTTTGTATTGTATGAATGTCTTTGGAGGAGTGTAGAAAAGATTGCCATACTATATAGAAGAACATATAAATCAGTTTTATACTCATTGTACTGTTAGTAAAATACAAAATAGAAGTATAGAGATTGATAATTTGAGTCGATCATTCGATAAAACATCATCGAAGAACGCGAAAAATGTAACATTATCAACAAATTGAGCAAGATCAAGCGAAATAAACAGTATCTTTTGTATTCTCTTTGTGCTCTTTGATCTCTATACAATGTAGATTCAAATAATCATTTAGGTATTTTATTACACTATAGTATATGGTTCATTTCTAGTCATGTTAATTAAAGATTACAGATGTTTAAATAATATTGATTAATATCACGAATAAATCGATTGATAAAATCATCTATAGCTACGCTATATAGTTTTGAGGTAGGATCCTTATGTTACAGCATTTGATTTGTCTGATCTGTTCGATCGATGACATACTTTCGAATAGACTTTTAATCGATAGCAATGAGAATATAGTCTTCATTGACGAAAATAGGAATGCAAATATATACTATGGTGAAATAAAGTATCTAAACAATTCTAATAATGAATATTCACTGAAAACCAAACAATTGAAAAGGATAATAACAGAGAAGAATCAAGGCTTGTATGCAGCAAACAATTCAATCAGTCTAATGATCACAACTCGATTGAAAGATATCATGAAGCGTTTTGCATATTTTCACATTCTCTTTTCATACAAAGATACTGCTGAAAGCATTTCATTTTCCTCGCTCAAATGAATTATTTTTCTATTATGTGTGAGTACAAAATTCGACTTTTAGGATCATGAATGGTACCTTCACAACATATCTAATAATCCAATAGTGAAAAATCGTTTTTCGTACATTATATCTTTTAAAAAACTTAAACTTCTGTGGTAAAAGCACCAAAGGCTTTCTCTCAGAAGTTCATAGAAACCATCAGCGCACATGTGAAATAAAAACAGTACCAATTACCGATCAGTAGGATCAGTCATTACTAGTATATTCTATTAATACTTTTGCTCTATTTATCTCATAGAGGATGTGTAATGGAACTTTATTGAAAATTGACTACGTCAAACATCACTATCCATAGATAGAATAGTGCGAGAACTCATCAGTTCAGGGTTGCTATACATTTCAGGCCGACTATTCCAGTTCAATCTGGTCTATTTAGATCGGTGCCAATCATGAAAAATCCAGATCGGTTTCATCTCTGTCACAAATATTTCTACTGAGCTATATCTATCTCTGAGTGGGCAAGCACTGTCAACTTTCGCTATTTTTCACCTTCCATGATTTCTAATGCAGGAAAATATGCAGATAGAAAGTTGAGTTTTGGTGATTATGGGCGTACTGTTCATCCTCACTCACAAACTCACATTTGAATAGAAACTAAAAAACATGAGCTAAAAGTTGAATTGAACAAAGACTGATAAAGTGGATTCGATTACGATTTTGACGGGAACAAAATCATATACGTAGTAATATATGTATGCACTAAGTTTTTTTGAAGATTAATAATCCTGATAACAACCACTGCTTTGTTTCGGTCTTTTCCATGGGTGTGTTGCCTTTCGATTAGATAATCAAGCAGATATCTTTGTTTCTTTATTTCAGTTGCTCCAAAGACAACAACAACAACTACAACAACACTGCCACCACCACCACCACAACACAATTGTTCAATAAATGGTTCTATCTACACATCAGACAAACAAATTATTCAATCTTTTCCTTTTCATGTCTCTATTAATCCATCTCAACTGTCAACCTTTAGTTCCAGTTATGCCGTAGTCGATATGTACGGTAGTGTGATCGAACTCAGTCTAGTTAATATTCCCAATGTTCCACCTGCTCTCTTCTGTTTACAAAATTTGCAAGCACTCTCGCTCATAGATTCTGCTGATCTATCAATTCCACCTGAAATCCTTCTTCTTTCTTCAACTCTTAAATTTTTTACCGTATCCAACGTTTCCAAATCTCTTAGTCTTCCACGTGAATTGTTCAGTATGAGTCTTCTATCAACACCATCTATTATCAACTGTGGTTTGGAAATATTTCCAGAGGATGTTATCTATCTTGATAAACTCACTCAACTGACTCTTGATCAAAATCAACTTGTCACTCTTCCTGCTACTTTGGGTAAACTAGCATCTCTCACTTCTTTGTCTGTCAACAGTAATCTTCAACTTTCTTCGCTTGATGCTATCAATGGATTAAAATCGATGAGCAAATTGCAAGCATCGAATTGTATGATTAATCATCTTCCAAATAACATTTCTACTCTATATACAATTGAAATGAATGAAAATCAACTAACATCTCTCGATGGTTTCGAAACAATTGTATCAGGTTTTGGATACTTATTCTCATTTAGAAACAACAAGATTACATCTATTTCAACTGATTC